CCACAAACAAATCGGACAATACTTTGTGTGACGCATATATATTTTGGTGCCCCTCTGTGCCAATATTTATGCTTGGATAAATAAATAATTAAATAAAAGAAAACATCGATCAATAACCAGACACCCCGTGTGAAGTAAACTCATGAAAACCAATGAAATCCTTATTCATGACATGACACAGCGAAATCAATCCCAGTATTTATATTACCACAGACTAAGTGATATGGCAAAACTGGATGAGGAAAGTGACGAAATGGATTCTCGTACACCTAAAAATTATACATTGACAATAGAATACTTCACATCTTATGTAACTAATAGTTACGATACTCAGAAGAAACATACATATGACTGTAAGAAGATTGTCGAAAGTGCGTATAAAGTGGAAACCATCCTCGTTTTACAAATGCTAACACAGAACGACGTCAAGTCATTTCATGAGGTAGATGATATGACGGAGAGTAATTGAACTTGATATAGTTAAGTTTTTGTGGGTGAATGACGTACAAACTTGTATTCTATAACCAGTTATTTTAAGTGACTTCTTGACACAGAAAATTTTGTTTGGAAGCTGATCACAAAAATATATACTTGATGACTGATTTATGATACATTACCTTAACAGCAGGAGTTTTGAACATACCGATAAACAGTACTACTTGTTTCTCATTGCAGGAAAATATCAATCGCTCATACAAATGTGCTTGAATCCAATCAACCTTTCTTTATATTATAAGATCGTTATTCCTCGCTAGTGTCAATCTACAATGAAATATTACAGACCAATGTTTTTTAAATCCCTACCCAAACCAAAGTATTAGTTGGAGATATGGGAGTGAATGAATCGCTCGCTACTGACTACTAACCAACCATTCTATCTTATGAATACATCTTTGTTTAGTAATTATAGATTATAAAAGCTACAGTCTGTATGAAACAATAAAGTCTAAATAAGAATACAAAAACTACATATTTTATTCGTTGAAATAGTGAATTTCACTGTCTTTAAGGTGTTGTGTTTTCTAGTAATGAGAATGCAGAATTCTGGACCTGAGATACAAATATTCTTGATCATTTCCGAATCTTACTGCTCAATCAAAATATGATCAACTAGACGCTAACTTTTATTCTGATCAATGTCTCGCAACAACTCAAGTCGATGAGCACCCAAATGCCCTGGTACGACCAAGGATGGGGAGACTTAACTCTCCCTCTCCAAATGCTCTCACAAAGACACGCATATACAACCACTAACAGGAAAGTTCAACTCACTGCCTTCTCCCACCACGGACATTGTTTACGAAATTAAGAGGACGAAAAGCGAATGTTCGGCGCTCTAACCGGGTTGGTGGATATGGAGGGTCCACTTAGGAGAGTTGGAAAACCCTAACTCAAGACAAATGGTGCGAATGGGCTTCATGATCACAAGGGAATAAATGGCGTATGAACCAATCGTTAGTCAACGACTACCATGGGACTGCATGTCCTTACGATACTACACTGCCTTGTAGATTAGACTTCTGAGTCAAGGGCTCAAGGTGTGACTACCTAAGAAAACCATCTGCTTCAGTTTGAGCCACCAGGTAGTACCATAGCCCATACATAAATCAAGTGACTTGTGTGACGCATGTATTTGGTGCTCCTTTGTACCAATATTTATGTGTTCAAATAAATAAATAAATAAGAGCTGTTCAATCTTTAGAACTCTGTCTAGAGAGTTGTGACGAATCAAGAAATCTCAATTCAATCAATCATCACTCGCTCCAAGATACTATTTTCCAAATTGGATGATTGTACTTTTTCCACTCAGTTACAGTTTTAGGAAATAATGTCCCATACAAAAACAGCTAGGCGACAACTGTAAAACATATCCAACTCACCGAACTCGCTATTTTAAGGTAATAACATCCATTAAATTACCAGCAGTACACTGAAAAATAAGTTCGTAGGCCTCATCAATGCTGTCATCAAGGGTCAATCCATTTGGGGACAACAGAAATCAATTACTGTCTTCAGACTTATCTACCTTGGAGAAGTCACATTAAATGAGAGTACAGTGAAATCTGAATTAAAGAAAAATGATATACTTGGTTTTGAGCAGACAGACCACCACTGAGACCGTGCGGAAGATGCGCAAGGTAGACAGGAAACTCTTCGACCTTCTTTAAGCACATACTTAACGGTTTACTGATTAAAAAACTATCGTTTGGGCTGACTACTTCAACTAGCATCCTCATAACTGTCAATTTCCTACATTATAATTTAGTCTGACCATAGATATACTACTAGAGGTAACTTCTCTATTCATCTAAACTTTCGGCGATCGCGAACTGTAAATGGTTTCTCAACGTGGTGATGACATTTGAACGTTAAGACTTAAATAAGCTCTACTGGTTGTGGCGATTGTCTTTTAAACGATGACAAAAAGGTGTTTTCAAGGGATGATCAGCACCTCAATTTATACTACTTTTACACAGAAGTTAGCAAAATCCATTCTGAAAAATTGTACATTTACCATTGCTTCACACATTTCTGGACCCAATGAATGGATTTAAAGTATGGAGCTAGTGATATAAACATAACTCTCTCTGTAAAAAGTTCTGGATGAACTGCCTTACCTTTGAATCTACAGTTATGATTCCAAGTCACTGAAACCCCCAATACTAATCCAGTCTTTCTTCAAGTTTACCAAGAATATGAATCGAGGATACGACTAACCAGGAAGTGTTGGTGTGTTTTAGTATTAGATTTCTGTCCTATCGTTGTTATAAACCCTTTATTTTTGGCCTCATCTTCTCCTCCATTTGTAACCAGTTCAAACGAAGCTTAAGAAATACTATCATCTAAAACTACATTGAGTGTTAGACTGGACAGAGACATATATAGCCCAAACATGATTATTGATTTTACCTAACCGATATGAGGGCGGTCAGAATAGACATTTCTTTACGTGTTCGTGACCTTTAGTGATTTATGTGTAGCATTTACTTTAAAAATAAAGCTGGTATTTTTGAGACAAATTCAAAGCGAAGGGTATGATTATGTTGAACAATAAAAGCCCGGAAGAAAAGAGATACAAGTTGGTGGCTTATTGTACAACCTTTTAAAGCTTCCATCGACTACAACCTGCATGTAGTAAATAACTCCGAAAAAGGTTTCCTGATTTCCTTCAGAGAGCTGTCACTGATTATAGCAGGTACTTTAAACGCCTAAGTAGACAGGGTACGTCAAATTGGAAATGGAAGGTCATAAAACTGTAACCAAGAGGAGAGATAGCGGTGACAATTAAATGTAGATGCATTTAGGCAACTATTACTTTTTTAACAAGCACAAACTAATAATTAAGGTTCAAGTATGCTGTGAGAAACAGCTTCAAAAATTATGTATACATAGGCTGCAAAAACTTTATCATCTTCGAAGCATTCTTTGCATATGATGGAACTATGAAATAAGGAATATTGAGGTTAAGCGTTGGAAAATGGGTAAAAGTAACAACTTGGTCGATGAGGCTATGCAACCTTAACCGATTAACATGGATGAGAAATGTCATGAACCCCTAGGTGGTGTAGTCTTAGAATTCCACCCCAAAAAAACCTAATAAACTACCTTGAATAAGAATTTTTAACAAGTGATACAATGAAATCCTGATCCAATAAATAGGAATAAATAAAAGAACTTAGTGATGCAGCTATGAACCCTCTGTATACTAAGTATTTCACAAGAATTAGAATTTACTCATTATAACCAATGAATAAGGAATTCGATTCAGTTTCAGACATTCTAGCTGTGTATGAATAAGTATGAAGTGTTATATTCAGATGAAGAGTAGATGAATGATAACTGATAGGATTATACTCGTTGAATAACATCTCCAAACCCTAATGTTTCCGACTACTGCTTATACTTTTACTACCTCTACCACTACGGGATTTGAATCGACAACTGCATCTCTGTGCTAGTGTAGTATGGCAACTAGAACTGATGTACGTACGTACGAAGTTCTACGTTGTTATTCGCTGACCTGCTTATGGACTATTATTACATATATTCCTATTGGATAACTATCGAGTAACGATGTTATATGTATATTCATATTCCTTTTATTATAAGCTTCCGTTTGACCTATTGACTACTATTATGCGATTTACTATTCCTGACTTATTCCCAACTTATTAGCTACAATCTCCCACACCCACAACCACTTTTAGGACTAATTTTGTGTAATTATTATTTTATATTTTATGGTATGATGAGGTCTGATTTGTTTGTATATAAACACAGTATGTCCGAAATATATGATTCATATAACGGAGGTTTATATGTACGTTCTGGACTGAACCCCCCGACTTCGGCAAAAAGCTATGTCAAAGGACCAATGAGAACTCTAGACTGTTCGTACAGATTTGTGTCATTAGTCTGGTCGTATAAGTCGGTGTCTCCAATTGGCGATATTATCTTGTAATATATTAACAGATCACAAGCCATAACATGTGGAAAATCATCATTCTGTGAAATAAATGGTGACACTACAATTTATGGACGACCTTTGAGCAACGCTAGACTGACTTTGAGTGTCTACTTAATAACCAGGACCAAATGAGCTTTATGAACCTGTGTGAGGAATTGGAATTGATTTACAGTTGATAGTTAGGGTTAGGAATTACAATTGGGGTTTTCATCACGAACTGACATAAGCTATAATGCCATAAATCTATTTAGTCAAATAGATGAGTGAATTTCGCGCCAAAATCCAAGACCTGTTATCTTACACCGGATTGATTAGTTCATAAATTATAGTCTCGCCAATAGGGGGAATATAGTTCATCTATACCATGAACCTTTATCCATCAACTTGGCACATGTCAGTGACAATGTTAATCATTCAAATATCGTTTAAACAGTTAACCTTAGTTATAAATACTTGACGATAATTGGGGCTAACTTTAACACATGGATGGAATACATAATAAACAATCAATTAAGAAAACGTTAACACCTACCAACATTTACATTGATGGATTCATTCAAACAAGGAATTAAATCAGAACTAATCCATTCATTTGATGATGAACTAGTTAATAGAGATACACTAGTCAGAAGTATGAAACCAAATGTTATAATAAATAGATAATATATCCTAGAATTAAATACATGATATGATTTACTACTCCATTCCCATAAAAATGATTTAGTGAAAGTAAAATTTAATAGGAACATTAAATCCGATTCACTACCAGATTGTTGAATATAAATATGTAATGAAGTGATTTTGCCATTTACATATACATTACTCAAGTTCTGATTACAAAGAATAATATGAATAATCCACTTTAAATAATAATTATATCCCACAGTTTTATTAAAGATACTCCATCATAGATGATTTGTAAATGTATGATATAAAACATGATGAACTTTATCGAACCATGAGCATTGTGCCCCTATTACAAATTTCCGAAGGTAAATTACTATAATGAGTCTTAACCTTTATCTATAGAATGAGATGATTGGTTGATTAAAAGCAACCAATCATCATTTTCATTTCATAAATGGATCAACCAATCAGATAACAGTTATTGTCTTATTTTCTAATTGATGATTTGCATATTTGGTATGACCTTGACAAACAGAAACAACTGGATGTGGTGTAATTCAGACATTAAAATAATGTCTAAACTGATCTTATTCACATGGCTTAGTTATCAAACTGTTCCATGCGTTTGACAGATTGAAATCATGAGCCAATTGAAGCTAGACCACTATGGGAAACCTGGAAGCACTGGATTGCCGTTTCGTCCTAGTATGGGACTCCTCAGCAGTGCGCATCCACGACCCCCACCCCGCGAGACTCGAACCGAGGACCTATCAGTCTCGCGCCAGGCACTTAACCAACTAGACCACTGAGCCGGCATCCAATGGTGTTAATGTGTAACTTCAACCAATCCACGAAGTTGCCCCACTGTACACCATTGTCTTCAGTGAGTTGATATCTTACAATAGACCTGGTTGAACTCCACTGGTAACGGCTTCTAACTAGAACTCCAGGAGCATCTCTTGAAGTCAGTCACTAGTGAGCAGATGATTATTATCAGAAGGGGTTTGTGGAGATTTTAGAAATTTCACAGGTTGAAATCATGAGTCAATTGAAGCTAGACCACCATGGAAAACCTAGAAGCACTGGACGGCTGTTTCGTCCTAGTATGTGCTGATGATGTCGTTCAGAAGAATGATGAAAGCTCCACGACCAAACCATTTAGCTCAGAGAACTAAACTCCATCAAAATATATATAGTTGTGCATGCTTTTAAGTTGTCATAATGAATAAATAGACGACTTTGTTTATTAAACGACTAATATGTGAATGAAGAATATTCTCTTCAGATTCTGTAATTCATATATCCAAATTAATAATAGGAAAAATGACCAGGTTAAGGTCAAAGTACATCGTTTAAAGTTGGAGCATGTGAATTTTGGTTTGTCAAACAATATACAATAGTCAGTATAGAGCTGTGAATATTGTTGAATTTAAAGTGGTATCATAAATGAACCAATTTTTAACCGCCAATGAAAACCTAGAAGCACTAGACGGCCATTTCGTCCTAGTATGGGATTCCTCAGAAGCGCACATCCACAATCCCACATGAAGGATTCGAACCAAGGACTTCAGTTCTCGCGCACGAACACTTCACTTGTAGACCAATGGACTGGCATCCAACGGTGTTAATGTCTAAGTTTAGTCAATCTACGATTTTGTACCACCGTCCGTCTTTATCTTCACTAAGTAACTGCTACACCATAGACATGTTGATATGACTTATATGGAATGTTAACTTAAATCAGCTTATATGTTAGGTTGAATTTTAAGATCCATGATTCTGATAAATATGGGTCATATTAAGGTGAGAGATATAATAGTGCAATTAAAATTCGATCAAATGTTTAATGGAAGACTATATTGTGTAAGAAATTATTGGTAAGACATAATAAGGTGAGATGAATCATATACTGGAGAGATTAATAATGATGTTTAAACAATAGAGGTAATATAAAGCTTTAGTGAGCAAAGATAACAGAGACAATTAAATTTGACTACAAAAGGTCGGGAATACAATGGTCAAATTAGGTCATTCAATAGCTAAGATTACTATTGATTAATTGGCCTAGAGGTTGGCCAGAGGAAGAGAAGCGGTTGAAGATATTTCTTTTGTACACATAGCTTAGGTTCCTTCATCCGGATGGCTACTACTTCAGCCGTTTGAAGGACTTTAAGCCTGACAAGCTTTGGTAAAAATTTACTGACCCGATGAATAATTGAAAAAGGATTAGTTTATACTGGCACTATCACCAGTTTGCACTAAGTAGGCCAATATCAAACTGTTCATTTTCCGTACCAAACCTTTGCTTAACCACTCTGGGAGGTGTTTGCGAGCACGAAAATATAAATTCCTAGAACTCCGACCGATATAACTTGCTCCACAGGAGCAATCGAACTGATAAATACAATATGACGCGATCATTCTAAATAATTAATCTTCTAACCTTGGTGTCACCATTGGGCACGTAGAAAATACTAATCATAGTTCTCCGGCGTTTAAAATTTTATGGATATGAATGAATATATTCACTTAAGGAAAAGTAAGTATGTGTTGAAGCATAAAGTTGCTTCACTTAATGATTATTCATTGTTAGTGTCAGTAGTCAGTAGACTTCCTGTTGCTGAAGGAAAGAAAAAAAGAGGATACATCAAATACAAGCTCATCATTAGGCATTTAGATGCTGATCAAATCATATTAGGTCCATTCCCTCTTTATTCGGAAGATAGAGACTCAGATCATTCACATACTAGTTTTAGACAGAGGCTAGATATTGGTTTATACTAATAGCGGTGTAACCGAATAAAAACCGTATGCCAATTCATAAGTACATTTATATCTAAGCAGCTGAACGCTCAACATATTGTTCAGACGATTCTTAAACATATAGTAGGTATTGTACAACGATGTTCAATGGTTTTCAGGTCATTGTGAAGTAAGGGACCAATGATTAAAACGTTTGGATCCAAGTCACTTAGTTGAAGTTTAAAATTCATCTGCAACTGGGGAAACTGGACAGTAACATCAGTCCCCATACTTGGAGTGTAGTTCAAAGTTAACTAAGCTAATCAAAGACTTATACATAAAGATGTAAATTTTCAGAAGTAGGTTCCTTCCAAGGTGAAAAAATGGAATATTTGTCATGGAATGATAATGTACTGAAAATCAAAACAAACATAATCTTTAAATTCAGATGGTATTGTTTACTTGAATCTTCTCATTGATGGTTAGGACTGCAAATGATCAGTTTCTTATTGGTATATGTACATTTTGAGGCCCACTGATGCAGAGGCTGCGGCCTTTGTGTGGTGTGTATGGGATAGAGGAGCCAGGTCATCTGCAAAGTCCAAATCATCTAGTTGCATCCAACTTGTCCATTGTATTCCGTTGTTTATTGTGAATTGATTATATTTAAAACTATTCACAGTATTGTACATTGGATTGAATCGCTTTGTGAGGAATTCAAATATTCCGAATATAATTGTATTTCGGATCAAGAAAGTGTACACTGTTTTAGATGTATAATACTAGGATAAAACAGTTGCTATCAGTTTATGGTTATGAAGATTGTTAAATTTTGTTGATATAACGATTTGAGCAAAGTTTCACAGATATTGTAAACTTATCAATTGATGAACTTATTTCAGTTCGTAATCTTAATAAGACTATTATTGTTAGATTGTTGTAATCAGTCGGCAGGAAACCATACTTGACTTAAGTTTCTTATCACTTAATACTCATCATCAAGTCGTAACTGACAACTTGAAGTATCCGATAGAGTCTGAGATATTACTTTATCGGTATAATTCAGTTACTACCAAATATTAAACAAAATTGACAATCAATGATTAGCTAGTGTAAATCAAATAATAAGTCACTGGTGTATCGTATCCATTAGTTTTTTAAATAATATCAATCCATGATCTAAATTGAGTTCAAGAGATTAAATTGATTTCTTTTTATGACAGAAATAATTCGAATTTCAACTTTTCATTAAGCAGTCCAAAGATTCAATCTATAACAGATGAAAACATATCAAATTAGAACCTGATATAAATCTATATTGATCCATGTTATCAAACTAAACTAAAAGTGTTACTCGGTGTTTAAGTACAATTTAACGCATTTGACTTTAGGCTACATTTCCTTTTTATTTGAAGGCGCAGAATGGAAAAGCAAGAACAGCATATTTACAAAAGGAGAACATCTAAAACTCAAAACAACTGTCTGTCAATTAACACCAAAGTCAGGATTTTCAATACAAATGTCAAGACAGTTCTACTGTATGGGATAGAAACCTGGAGAACTACGAGAGCTATCATCCAGAAGACACAAGTGTTTATTAACAGTTGTCTAAGCAAAATACTTCGGATACGTTGGCCGGACACCATTAACAACAACCAACTGTGGGAAAGAACAAACCAGATCCCAGCGGAGGAAGATATCAGGAAAAAGCACTGGAAGTGGATAGGACACACATTGAGGAAAGCACCCAACTGCGTCACAAGACAAGCCCTCACGTGGAATCCCCAAGGCCGAATAAGAAGAGGAAGACCAAAGAACACATTACGCCGAGAAATGGAAATAGACATGAAAAAGATAAACAAGAATTGGATGGAATTAGAAAAGGAGGCCCAGGACAGAGTGGGTTGGAGAATGCTGGTCGGCGGCCTTTGCTCCATTGGGAGTAACAGGAGTAAGTAAGTACATTTTCTCTTTGTTTTGAAGCCACTAATACTGTCCAGATCAAGTAGATAATGTGTGTTGGGTTTCGAACCTGTGACCCACTGATTAAAAATTGACTATGTTGATTACTAAGTTGCCATTGTAAGTAATATTGTATAATTTACTCATTATGGTACAGATGATTTCAAATTACTTTATGTGTACATTCATCAAAATTGAAGTAAATATTTTGAAAAAAAGACTGAACTATAAGTATATAGAAGACACTATCAATGAAAATTATCGTTGATCAGTTTCATAGGCTGAAATTTACACAATTCTAATGTTTCATCAGTCTATCAAGTTGAAATTTCTTCAGTGAAATAATTCAAAACAAATGATCACCGACAGATCTAATCTTTATGTTCTTATCTGTATCGTCCAAAACAAAGAAGACAAC